CCCGTCCGAGGGGACAACAGCGAATGGACACCCCGCAGTATTTGTGAGGCTTCCAGAAACAAGGCAGCTGAGTTTGAGGCGGTTTGAGTTTCAGTACGAGCCGCAGAGTAGGTAGATAGATAATCCAGTTGTTTTGTAAGTCACTTAGTTAGTGCCTGAATGAATTAACCCCAATTCTTCCCATTCCACAAAAAAGCCCTGACACAAAATCCAAGGGCTCTGCAGATCCTCGTTGCACAGCCTGGGTTCAGTTTTCCATACTGATTTTAAAGCCAGCACTTTAAATTCACATGGAGGTTCAGTGTGTTCACCCCCTAACACTAAACACATTTAAACTGGACAGCGCAGCTCACGCCAGGACATTGCGCCAATTTCTCTTGGGCTTAACATATGATACAGCTGCTGGAAAGCTTCAGGGTGAGCACTGTGGTATTGCTCTCAGTGGCTTTTTTGGGGGAACTTTTGTCATACTCACAGCAGCAGATTTTGAGGATGGACCCTGGGAAGTTTCTCTGGAGATAGAGGAAACAAATGCGCTTTAAAGTCTGGTAGAAACTTGATGAAAACCTGACAAAACAGAGATTCGCTCTGTTGGTAACGCTGGCAGGCAGGGAGGGAAGGGTTTGGAGGACAGCAGCTATGATCAGAATTGGTCAACTAATTTTGAGGCCATTAGTACACAAAGCAGGCTGTCATTTAGGTAATTAAAGAGAAAATGGAAAATTATATGCAAGAGTTAACAAGGGAAACCGTGGTGCAAGTGCTGGATTTCACTGCAATTAATTTCACAGCAGTGGACAGAGCTAGAGACTCCCACTCCTCAGCTGCCCCCACGCAGGGAAAACGCTGGCGCAGCACTCAGCGGTGTGGATTCGGCACGCGTGTCCCAAACCCCTCACAAACCACACACCACTGAGTGTCTCCATCAGCTGCTCCCCTGTATCCCAGAGAACCTTCATAAATTAAATGCTAAATGTGTTGGACAGTCTCTTAAATAAGCAAGAAAAACACAGCAAAGGTATCAACTTTATTAGCTTCTTTGATCTTTTAGTTAAAAAATAAGTTCAAAATGTGATAATGGAACATGTCTTGCCTAATAGTCAAAGATGAAACCAGTTTAAATGCTAAAAAGCCAGTCACATTACGTGTGACTGCTGCTAGAGAGCCCGTGCAAACCCCTCATCTTCTTAAAAGCTGTTTCAGAATAAATAGCTCCCGACTGGAGGAGCATTGCCTTGCCCATCTTGTGGGTGACAGCTCTCCCTCTTCCACAATGTAGGAGGCATTCTTGGTTCCAACACTAATTGGGAACTTCCTATAAACATTATTCATCTCTCTCTACATGGCAAGAAGTCCAGAACAAAAACAATAAACTAACAACAACAAAAAAGAATGCTTGGCTGTGTCATACTCTATAAATATTTCTGAGCCACCATAAAAAAAAAAGGTAAGAAAAACAGTTCCTCCATTGTAACAATTACACACTTCAGATTCTTAAAAAACAAGCCAGTATTTAACCTGATCTCTCTGTTATAAAAATAGTTTTGTTAATCTTGGCATAATTCTCTGTTTTATTTCAAGATAAATATACGCTTGCATAGTTACGTCTTTTTGCCACTTGAGAGTCTTTCAAACACTCAGAGAACCATGGAAAAAAGTTAGGTAACTTTCCACTGTAGCTGATGGGTTAATGATCTTCAGTTCTCAAAATTAATTCTATACTGGAAACTTCTTCATCCACTGCAGAAAATTAAAGATATGTATTAAAAGATAAGAAAATTTCCTCTGAAATGTATTAAGCAATCAGATACGTGTCAATTTACTATATACATTTTCACACTGCAAACAAAATAAAAACATAGAATAAAAATATAAACAGGAGAAAGGTAAACAAAGCACTTCAGAGAAAGACAACAGTCTCAGGGACACCACTGGGGTGTTATGAAATAAAACCTTTCCAGTTTGTTTTGCAAAAAGGAGCGATCTTTGTGCCCTCAGCCAGCCACTGAGTCACAGTTTACAAGCAATGTGGCACACGCTACGGTGTCCAAAACTGAATATAGCCTTTTGCTCACTGCTTTCCTCCTTTGTTCTTCCTCCACCCAATCTCTGTCTAAAGGAAAAACAACTGACTGATGAAAATGGCTACAGCACAGTCAGCTAGTTAGGAAATCAACCCCATGTTTATCAGCGCACCTGCCCTCAAATGATTTCAAAGCAATTTAAAAAAAACCCAACAAACCCAACCACATCAATTCAATCACTTCTCTGTAGGAAACTGCACAAACATTCGTTATTTCTGGACTTGCTATCAGCTCTGCAAAAGTTGCTTTGGACTTAACTGATCACAGCAATTCAGTGCCTTTGAAATAAATGAAGAAACTAAGAATTACGCGGCAGCCAGTGACTTGCACAGTCACTAACGCCTGTCATGGTTCTACCGCGAATTGTGGGTACGTTTGTTCCACCAGTTCTTTCTGACTTGAAGCAAATGAGATTATTTCTGTAGGCTAAGCGTATGCTTACTGCTCTGCTGCATCAGCACGGTGCTCAGCAATTCTGAGGATTTGCTCCTGAAACTTTTTAACATCGGTAGTTTCAGGATGCGAGTCACAGTGTTGGCTTCGATCTATAAAACCTCCAGCTTCTTTTACCTTCGGGCTCTTTTTAGGAAGAGAAGAGCTCTCCACACAGGAACATTACAGCAGAGTAAGGTGCAGCATTCTAGCTACTCAGCATCCATTTCCTAAGAGAGCCCCATTAGCATGTACTAAGCAGACCCAACTTATTTTGAAAGAAGACTTGGTGTCTCCAGACTTAATGCAGAAACAGCAGAACACGAGGGTGCTACAAACCAACACCACTCCCCAGGGACACAGAGGGTTTGGCTCCACAGGGGAGAAACTGTTCAGGAACTGCAGTTGGAATATTTTGAGAAAGAACTGAGCACCAGCTTGCCACTGGATCAAAGTCAATCAGTGTGAGCAATCCAGTGCCACACAGCTTCACACTCCGGCTTGCTGTGTAATAACTTCCCTTTGGGCTGTGTCAGCACTGGAAGATTTCTTTTTTTTGTCAGTTCTTCCCCTCATTGTTGCTAGACTTTATTCAGCTTCATGTGCTGTTCGGTATTTTAACCGTATCTGGTTACTCTTTTGTCTTCAGAACCAGACAACATGGTGCCTAGTGCAAGCATCCATTTCACATCAGTAGAGCAAATAATCAGAGAGTGAGAAATTTCCTGATTCAAAAAGAAAAAACAATCTGTATGGGCAAGGCTGCTTTTCATATTCTGAAACAGCTCTATTCAATACATTCTCCTTTTGGAGCTCTGAGCCCAGGAACAATATGCTAAAAGAGCCTTTGGCTGTGGCACTGAAAAACACTTCCCAGTCTCTTGTTCAACAATGTCCATATCCTCAATCTTGTTATCTGTAACACACAGAAGGATTTTAACTACAATAAGTGGTGTGCAGGTACACAGGAACAGAGCTGTGAGATCTGACTGCCCAGAGGATGAGGAACATGCTTGAGAAAAGTTTAATTATTTGACTACAGGAATTACTTGCTGCTTTAATATCTGTTTGCTGTTAAGAGTACTCACAAGAGCTTTAGTGGAAATAAATTCAGAGCAGTGCACTTAAAATCTTGTGCCAGGCTCATCTCAGAAGTCCATAACTCTTATTAAGATTGCAGATGCATTTATAAAGAGGGAAACAAAAAAACCCACCACCAACAACAAAAAAATCAAGTCGAAAACACCTTCATACTCACAGAACATCATAGAGGAAAGAATGAAAGCTGAGCATTTCTTTCTTCTGCAGCAGATAACTGGGTTCTGTGAAGAGCTTCTGCAAGTTCTGTTGTCTATATTGTAATGCAAAAACAGTACGTGGAAATCAAAGAACTCGGATAATATTACAGAGCTGCCAGGTTCAAACTGTCGTGCAGCAGGATACACTTTTTAATTTCCTCTTCTCCTCCCTCCCCCAGGCAGGGCACAGAATCCAACACCTACAAATTCTTACTGATTAAATTCCAAGAGTTGTATTTGATATGTATTATGTTTTAAAGCACAGTTTAGAAGAGCCTCAGGTAAATCTGGTTTAAAGCACAGATTAACTAAACATACTTGATAAGTTTTTGCCCAGAACCAAGTAGATCAAAGTTCTACAGATGTGTTTCAGAAGCTACCCTCACACCAGTAAACACAAGCCTGCTTTATTTTCTACTCACTAAAGCAACAGTTCTGAATGAGAAGCCAATTTCCAAGCTCAAAAATGCAGTATCAGGTTATAAAGCAGAGTCACGCTCGCTACTAAAGGACAGCCGGTTCAGCCGAGCTGCGACGAGCCAACCAGTAAGCAGGAGCCAGACAGCTGATGGGGCTGGGCAAGAGCCACAAGCAACCACTGTTTTGCAGAAAGCTTTTCAGGAATCCCTCCTACAAGATAGTCTTTGCAAAAGACTACACTGCCACTGTATTTCATGCTGAATGAAATCCTGCAGATGAACTTCTGAACAAAATATCCTTTCAGTTTATGCAAACGCTGGCGCACAACCTTTATACTCTGTCAGCCAGTCCCAGCACAGCTAAGGTTTTATGGTTCTGAATGTTATCAAAATTACATTGTTGCTTAAAGTAACATTGTTCTGGTCAAGTTTATCTAAGGATATTAAGAGTGCAACATTTTTAGAGAGAGGTAATACCTTTCAGGAGAAAGCTGAGGTTTCAGCACGCAGCCTTCTCCTTAGGAGTCTGCTTTAAAACCAAAAGCCTAAATTCTCCTTCTGTGATACACATCAGCACAAGTTTCCTCATTTCTAGTGACGAGTGGTACAACCTCCTTGTCAAACAAGGTAGAAATTCTTAAGGATATTTATGAAAACAAACAAGTGCTCCCTTCTCCAGCTATTCCTATTGCCCACATACTCAAGACAGAAACTCCCTATCAGCATTCATGCTTATAAAATAAATTGCTGTGACAGCTACATACAAGTTATTTTCTTTGACCACTGAGTACGTTCTCTGAGTCTGCAAAGAAGGAACTAAAACTACTAGCTCACAAAAACTCTGAAGTTATTTAGGCTGAGAGTTTGGTTTAAATGCTATTCTATAAATCACCTATTTCCTACACTGTCCTCCTTTCCACAAATACACCTAACGTAGTTCTGAACGTAAGTCATACTCATGTTTGCTTTTTTCTAGACCTCCTACAGCTTGCTCCAAAATGACTTCTTCCTTCCATCTGTTTAGATGAATGCAGAAGTCAAATCCTGTCATGACCTTGAGGAGCCATAAAGAATGCTATAAAAAAACTCAAGTACTTCAAGCTAAGGCATGCAGGAGTTTTCTCTTTAGCTAAGCACGAGGAGGATATTGCTTATAACGTCGTAGCGCAAGTCAAGCAGAAGGGAAAGGATGTTCACAATCGCTCTTCCCAGCCACCTAAATCCAGTCAGGGGAGAGCAATATAAGCAATATATACCGTATTCTTGCTGCTGCTGTTTGGACTGCAGTGAGGGCTTGCCTGGAGGAGAGTGCTAAGCTCCAGATCAGCAACCATCTGTCGAGACTCAGCCAATACATGCTGCAATTTACTTATGGGAGAACTGGTGTCCTGGAGGAGAGAGAAAGTGAGCCAAAGTTATGGAATGATCTTTTTTGGAATATGTCAAAGGATTATAACATATCAAGAATAATCACTTTCATTTTGAAATGTCTCAGTTCAAAATACTACAAGGTAACACTGTTCCAGACTCTCTAAACGCTGATATTGCTGATAAACACAGAGGTCTTTCCTCATGTCAGCTTTTTAACAGATCTCCACATGCAGGTACACGTAGCACACACAACAGCAGCACTTCAGTGATAAAGGGGAGAACAAACAAAGACAGAGAAAGAGGGAAAACCAGGAAGAACAAGAAAGAAACAGTGTCCAGTAGCTTCTAATAACTGTGTCCAAGCGTTCTGAGATATTTTGCTTTACTGGAATTACCAATGAGCCAGCATACATCATCCTAAAGCCTTTCATTTCAAAATAGTTTCTTCTTTTTTTTTTAAACTCACATATACTTATCTATCCAAGACGTATTGAGACAACAAGGAATTATTCTGAAAAAATATTTTACCACCTTTGCTTTGAGCCTGCTGTCTCATCATTCCAGTCCCTATTTCTTCCATGCTGGCAGACATTTGCTTTCCTACCATCAGTCACAATTCCCCTTCAAATTACTGAAGTGCATTCTGCAATAAAACACTGACTTGGTTCACAGTAGCACTGCAGCATCTATTTGATGGCTTAGTCACTGAAAGGTTATTGATCTCCAGAGGGAAGTCTTGATCAGAGAATTTCTCACATCTTTGAGGCCTGTCTCCTTTCTGGGTGGATGTCAAACAGGAGGAATCCACGTAAAAAGAATTCAGATCCACATTTTCTTCACTGTTAAAAAAAAACCAAAACACATTGCCAGAAACAGTATCACTATCTTATTTAAACTTTCAAAGGAAAACTATGGGACAACATAAATAATTAGGGGCCATGAGCCAAGAAAACCATCAAGCAGGTGGGATTATTCTGTTCCTCAGAGTCATTCCTGTGTTTAACAGATTCCTTAGATCAGTTTCATCCTCTGAGGATACCAGTTTGACATTCAACCAGTTTCAAGAACAGCTACATTACCATGGGCTTGACTATCTATTTAACCTTGCAAAGAGCACACAAAACGCAAAGTCTGGTTCCTCTCAATACTCTGGTACTCTTTTTTCTCTCATACCCCACTCCTTTTTTTTTAAAATCAACCATTAGGCAAACTGATATTTGTAGGTGTACTTTTTGAGGGAATTTCAGTCTTCTAAAGCTATCATCTCACTTCAGAGATGGCAGGAGAGGTTTCCCAAACAGGCTTTCTTTTATTTATTTTTAAATACATCAGCAAACAGTAAAGTGCTGTTCAGGCAAACTGTGATTAAACCCAAAACTCAGTTGCCTGACTACCATTTCAGTGTGGAGTTGAAGCATATGACCTATTGGCATCCATCTTCCCCTAGGTTTTAAAGCAAAATAAATTTAGCACTGGGTATATCTGAGTGTCTTTAGGAATATCTGAAAAGCAATTTAAATGACAGTTAAAGCAACAAATCATACCCTGCATATTATCACTGTCAGAAAACTGACTCACAGCCATCCCAAGCTCGTCCTAACACAAAAGGTCTTTAGCTCTTCATAGGCATGTCAAATGATTGAAACTTTTCTCTTACACCTTTCCCACATTACAAGTTCACTTTTTAAATATAGCCTACCCTAGAGAAAAACATTTTCAATTTCAATTCCTTAAATCAAAATTTCATCAAAATGTATCGAATCCCTCACTCAGCTCCAGCACCAATTCATCACAAATTAAGAGCAGAACTAATAAAAGCTGTAGCATATTATAAACTGTCTTGATCACCCTAACTAAGCCCTCTTCCGCTGGGATCACTTGTCCCTTGTGCTGTGTTTTCACAGCACTGACTGCTGTCTGCAGCTTGCACAACAACGTGCCCTGGTTTCTGCCAGCAGTTTCATGCTATGCAGTGAATTTAATTTTCAACTGTTAATTTCCACTTCATACAGTTTTTAAAAAGTAAATAAAACAGTGACTATCTCCTCAATACATTTCTGTATTCAACACACTTCTGAACAAAATAGAAGCACAGTGTTAGCACTGCCTGGATCGGGTAAATAATTAAAATGTCATATATTTTAAAGAAAACACTACCTTCAAATTTACAATAATTCATTATATATTCTTTAGCTACTTATTTGGGTGGAATAACACATTCCATACCTGACAAGACTGTTACAAAAAGGTTTATTTTTAAATGACATTCAATCTAAGAAAAAGCTCTCGTGAGTGACGCCAGGTCAGAAGTGTCTGCTGTGTCTCATTTCACTTCTCTTGTAAAACACAGGGATACAACAGGTTCTCTTTTAAGAGAGAAAAGCTGGTGTTTGTGTGCTTCTGACAAGGAAACCTCTGGGGGGATGTGAGGGAACAAGTTGTAGCAGCCTAGAACAGGGGATGTGAGGAGATGCAATGAGCACAGCCAGTTCTGAAGAATACACACGTTGGGAGGGAGGAGAGAAAAACAGGTTTTATTTTTGAGGCAGGGAGACAGCTCAAGCCATGGGTGGCTGAGGCCAGCAGGAGCAAACTGAACAGGTAACTGCTGATGCTCCATCTTTACAACTAGAATTGAGATAAAAATCCAAAGGCAGCAAATGTTGGTCCAACATAAATGAAGTCACTAAGTCAGAGCACACAGAAATGATTCCTGCACGACAATGTTTCACAATCACTCTTGCAGTTGGAGAAGGTATTTGACTGTGTTAATAGCCTTCTTGTTGGCTGTTCCAGACTTCAAGAACTCATGTCAAAAATATTTGCTGGGCTAACAGGGAGGTGCCAGCACCCTTCCCT